AGTGGCCTTCTCAAGGCGGCTCTTCCCCGTCCTGTCTGCTCTTGAAACTTTCCAGAACCTGGAACCAGGTGGCTCCAGGCAATGGAATCCGCTTTTGGGCCCTAAAAAGAGCCAGAGACAAAAAGAGCCAGAGTCCCTCGGTCGACAGCACTGACACAAGACTTCACGGTCAGCGTCCACAAGATGCGGCCCTCTCACTGCTCACAACGCAGTCGGGAAAACTGGGCTGGAAGCAGGCTTTGGTCCGTGCTACTCGCAGGAACATCAAAGTTCTCCCAGAACCAAGCACTGAATTAAACGTATGGGCGCATGAAGCAGATGTCAGGTATTTCATTCCATCCGTCCTCCTGGTGAACCCGGTCCCCGTCATTTGTTTGGGGTGACTTTGCCTGTAACGTTGTCCGCATTATAAAAGGCAGAAGCACAGCCATTTATAAAAAGGAAGAATGGACAAAGTGATACCAGGACTGAGGGTGGAGGTGACCTGGTTTGGGAGACAGGCGTGTGCTGGGGCGTTGAGAATGTGGGGCTTGGTCCTCCCTGCTTTTCGAAGACGTGGCCTGCAGTCCTCTTTCCCGAGGAGCTACGTGGCAAGGCATCCTCAGATCCACTCTTGCCCTTGGACTCCTCCTCACCCCGCTCCTCTGGGACAGCAGGCGAGAAGAGCGAGAGCGAGCGAGCTCCAGCCAGCTGGCCCCGCCCGGGCTCTCATCCCCCAGGCATGAGCGTGTTTGTGGATCTGCTTCTCCCCTGATTGGCAAGGAGGCCCAATTGCTCTTTAATGAGAACCGTCTGGGGTCTGGGTCCGGCCGCTGTGTCACCGGGTCTTAACCCGCTCCCGCCCGGTGAAAGTTGGCGACTGGATCGCTGACCATTTTCTTTAATTATCACACAATGTCGGGCTCACAACACACCAGCCACCCGTGACTCACAGACTCATTTTATGGGGAGACCGGGGGAGGCGAGGAGGAATGCAGGGAGGACTGGGCATCACAGTAGCGCGGTCATGAGGCTGAAGGCTGGCCTGTTCCTGACATAGCTTATCTGCATGGGGCTGAGAACAGCCCTAAGAACGCTGAGTCTCGACTTTCTTATTAGTAAAAATCAGGAGTGGTATGTCTCAACTATTTCAGGACATCATTTATCAGGTTCTCTCCGCGTCTCAGATGCTCTCATCCTGATCAACACAGAGAGGGACAGAGAGGGACGTGCCCTGGGCTACCCAGGCCCTGCTTACTGAGGATTGTGGACATAGGAACCCATGTTTAGTTAGCACTGTATCAGTGATGTTTTGCTTCAAGACATTTTAGTAAAAATATTTGTTAACACTGTCAAGGGATTTCTGAGCCAAAATATAATCTGGGGCATCTCTGAAGCACGTGCCCCTGCTTGTCCCAGTTCCCCTCCCGGACCTCTATCAGTAACTGAGCAGATCAACGCCATCGGCAGCGGGGAGAACGCAGTCAGTCACCCCTCAGTGGGAACCACACAATCGCCTCCCCTCCCTAGTGTGTGACGGCAAGGAGAACGGAGGAGCAGTGTCTTTGGTTGTGTGTGTTTGTGTTGTGTGTGTTGTGTGTGTGTTTGTGTGTCTATGTGTGTGTATGTGTGTTTGTGTGTATGTGTGTTTGTGTGTGTTTGTGTGCATGTTTGTGTGTTTGTGTCTATGTGTGTGTATGTGTGTATGTGTGTTTGTGTGTGTTTGTGTGCATGTTTGTGTGTGTTTGTGTTGTGTGTGTGTTTGTGTCTATGTGTGTGTATGTGTGTATGTGTGTTTGTGTGTTTGTGTGCGTGTTTGTGTGTGTTTGTGTTGTGTGTGTTGTGCGTTTGTGTGTGTGTCTATGTGTGTGTATGTTTGTGTGTGTGTTTGTGTGTATGTGTGTGTGTTTGTGTTGTGTGTTTGTGTTGTGTGTGTGTGTTAGTGTGTGTTAGTGTGTGTTAGAGTGTGTGTGTGTTTGTGTGCATGCTTGTGTGTTTGTGTTTTTGTGTGTGTGTGTGTTTGTGGTGTGTGTGTGTGTGTGTGTGTGTGTGCAGTTCCTGTTCGTGTGGAGAGCACATCGAGCGTGACCCTTGGCCAGCACAGCTGGGGCGGCACAGAAGGCGTCTCGCAACGACAGGGCCTAAGAATGAAAGATGGGGAGGAAGCCTGTTTATTTAACAGATACAAAAGCAGGATGCAAACTTTGCTAAGAAACAGCTCAAAGGAAAGGCAAACAGTCCGAGGCGAGAGAAAAGGTAGTTAAGTGCTCGCTGCTGTGCCCTGTGCTCCTTCGAGGCACGAGTAGCTGTGCTCTCAGAACCTCTCTCCCGCCAAAGAGCAGCCGCAGTAGGAGCATTCCTAGCGCGGAATTCCAGGGGCAATGCGGACAGGTAAGCAACAAAGGAAAAATACTCCACAACTTGGAAAGAAAAGCAAGAATAGCAGTAGATGTAAGCCATATATATATTCTCAGCTCTTCATCGATCTGGTAAATGCACTCAGAAATACCTGTACTCTGGCTCGGAAAGGGTGAGCAGCTGGTGCGGGCCATGTCAGCTCGTTCGTGCAGAACACCCCCAGCATGAGTGTAATGAGTGTGTCCTGGTGCCCTCTCTGTGCTACAGAAGCTGAGTCTGGTTGTTGGCTGGATAGTAAACAAAATGGAAAGTGATTAGGATCTGGGATAGATGACAACATGCCTGCGATCACAAGTACAAAACGGCATTGTCTTGGGTGTGGGAGGTTTTTAAGAATTCCCAGGAAAACATAAAATCACTGCCTTTGGAAATAGGCCTAAGGTTAGGAGCCATCGTGCAAAGTGAATAGAACTTCACTAAAACCTTCAGTTCAACCCTGGCCCCGGCATCTGCGAAGGACGCCTGTCCCAACACCCCCGCCCCGGCCCCGTAGGCCAGCATGAGTCAGGAGCACTCCTGCGGATGTCTGTGGAACGCTGAGGAGAGCAGTTCCTTAAACGCGTGGGTTCTGGAGATATGTGGCCAAACTTTAATTCCAAGCTCTACCCCTTACGTGCTGTGTACTTCTGACAAGTTTCCCAGTTTGTTCCTTGGATTTATCCACACCTACCACCTGGGGCTGCAGTGAAGACTGAATAAACTAAGGATTCAGGCCTTTCCCACAGGGACCACACAGTAAACACTGGCTCCGGGGACCAGGGCCCCAGGGTCAGCGCACAGTGTGACTGCACTGATTGGCCTCGTGGGTCTCCCTGACCCACAATGGGGCCTAAGGAGCTCAAATAACTGACCGGCAATCCGCTGTCTCCCTTTGCAGGAAGTGGGGGATGGTTTGTGGGTGAAAATAAGACACGTTCCCCAGGCCTACTGCCTCATGCACTGAACTCTGGGTAAATAGACTAATAATACTGAAAACCTCATCTTTGTAAAAAAAAAAAAATGCTGCCTCTTAGGTTGCTTTTATTGTTTTACATGGGAACATTATCAATTTGTAAAAAGAAATACCTTTTTAACCTCTAATTTAGTTTTCCTCTGACGCCTTGCTGTTTGTTGGCCTGTTATGATGTTTAACATTGAGGGTTACGTAACTTGGCCAACGTTACATTCCCTCATTTACTGGCTGTGCACCCTTGGGCTCGCTGCTTAGACTTGCACAACGCATCTACTGGGGGTCAGAAAGTCTAATGGATCCTGATTGTGCCAACTCCCGTCGTGACATTTCAAATCGCATATTCCTTGACCTGTCTGAAATACCTGACAGAAGGTCCTGTCTGTTGGAACTTGTTTTTCTGGTTTTGGGCTCCAGTATAACTTGCCATCCTGGGAGTTCATTCTGCCAGACCTAGATCTGACTGTGGGAACCTCCCCCGCGAATACCCTTGTCCAGAGGCCCCTGTCGAACGGGTTGTTGAGAGGAAAGAAGTTTAGGCTCTGCGAGGCAGGGCCTAAAGGACGTCACCCAAGCTGTGCAGCGCTGGGGATATTTTTAAAGAAGAGAGATGTTTCCTAACGCAAATGCTCCTCACCAGATGAGTGGCCTACCACGCTCCGTGGAGCGTCACCGTGGACCGGAGAGCCCACGTTCAGTGCAGAGAGGAGAACACGGGAAGCACATGGCGCTCCTGAGGCACCCTCCACCCCCCCACTTGCGAGCTTTTCTTGTTGTTTCACAGCCTACAGCTCTGAAATCATTTGTCCGATTTCTCTTTCATGCATGTCTGACTTGACAATCGGTTCCTATATTTGATCAGTTATAAATTACTTAAATGCTAGAGCAGTGGTTCTCAACCTTCCTAATGCCGCGACCCTTTCATACAGTTCCTCATGGTGTGGTGACCCCCAATTTCATTGTTACACATTGAACATAATTAAAGCACAGTGATGGTATGCATCCCAGCAGAAGAGTGTAGACCACTGTGGACATGTACACCATATTTACCCAGAGGTTGGCACAACTTAATTTTCCTGAAACTTATTCTTATTTTTAGGAATAGTTAGATTGGACTTTTTAGAGTAATTATGGAAATACGTGTATAACTTTATGTACATATTTATTTTAGACATCCTATTTTTCTATTTTTCCACTTCTTATCTCTATATATAACAGGCCAAGTGTCTGCCCGTCTGACTGACAGCTATGATGCTCACTGACCACCAGGGGGCAGGCGCTCAACGCAGGAGCTACCATGGCGTGCACTGGCCATTTCAAAATAAACAGCACCCCGGATCTGGCGCCCACAACCAATACTCGGCTTCCCCCAAATGGGACACAGGCCCCGCCACCACCAGGGAGCGACATCCCACCAAATCGCAGCCAACGCTACCAAGACCCCATGGCGCAAAATGCGGCCCCCAGCCCAGCCAGCCCAAAACGGTTGTGTGGGCACCGGGTAATGACATCATGTAGCAATACTCGGCTTCCTCTCCCTGGTGACTAGCCTCCTTGGAGTGGCTTCAGCCCAGGAACCTGACTTGCTTTATAGCCAGGTGCAGACATCTTACAGTTTAACCAAAGGTCTGTGAAGTGTTTTCCGTGCCTCATCTCATTTGATCCTCACAGAAGTCCTGGAGTAGGTAGATAGGAGACTCAGTAGAATCCTTTTTTTTTTCCCATTAGCAAGAAGCAAATAATGATACTAAAATATTTCTTCTAATTAATTTCCTTTCAGTGTGCATGAATCCATGCACCGGCACTAGTACTAATATAATTTTGTCTAAAGGTAAAGTTGTTTTCGTTGTTCACAGATTATTAGACTGTTTTTAGAGACGTAACTTCTATCCCTGTCTCCTGGCAATTGGGTGACCTCAACACTGATGTTCTTTCTGCATCCAGCAAAAGAGTGTAGACCACCATGGACACGTACCCCATATTTACCCAGAGGTTGGCACAACTTAATTTTCCTGAAACTTATTCTTATTTTTAGGAATAGTTAAATTGGACTTTTTAGAGTAATTATGGAAATACGTGTATAACTTTATGTACATATTTATTTTAGACATGTTATATTTTTCTGTTTTTAAAAGCTCTTATACAATTATTGGAGCACAATGATCAACAGATAAATAGATGATAAATAGATTTGATTAGATTAGAAATGAGGCTAGTTTAGAACCACAGGGATTATCTTGGTTTTATAAAAAGACTGAAAGCAAATGTAGTGTTTTCCATTTTCTTTTAAATATTATCTATTTAACATAATTTAATGATATTATGTATTTGCATAATTTTCCCTTGATGCTAATGTTAAGGAGGAAGAGAGGGGAAACTCATAACTGAGAGGGGGAATATATCAAAATGGAGAAGGGGATATTCACATGCTTTATCCTTCCCAGAATTCTCTGCAATGGACACATGTCTTTGATTTTATGGTATTGGTAATACATAAGTTTTAACTGTGTAAAATAACAAAAAAAAGCACATCATTTTAATCTACCCGCCACATTTTAAGACAAAAACATCCCACTTTCTCACCATGTTCCCTTTAGCTTTAACACTCTGTCCATTGGTGCTGAATGAGAGTTCTTATTTAAGAACTTAATTATTTGCAATTAATTGCTTTCAAAAGATAGGCAGAAACTTAGTGTCAGCACCATCTTGAAAGTCATGTATGCACTAGTCTCAACATCATTTTCCGTCCAATTTCCTCTACATCATCATTAACAACTCAGTAGGGAACTAGGAATGACTTCATCTTGGCTTTCTAGTCTCTGTCTTCTGTGTAGTTCTGGTCTGGCCCATCCACAGTGTTTACTGATGTAGAGTGCTCTTGAAGATTCTGAAGAAATGTCTTTCACCAGATAGTTATTGTGGTCTCAGAGCCACCAAATTATAATAGCAATTAGCACCTCAACACCATAAAAATTACCAAAATTAAATTGCTTTAATAAAAGTTTCCAATAAGACTTTTATTTGATTAAAAATGACTATGAACCACAATCTCTATGTTTTTTTAAGGTTTTTTGTTGTTATTTTCATAGAGAGGAAAGGAGAGAGAGAGAGAGAGAGAGAGAGAGAGAGAGAGAGAACATCGACGTGAGAAACATCACTCCAACCAACTGAGCCACACCTGCCAGGGTTCAATCTCTGTATTTTATAGGAACCAAAATGTCACACTGAACATGACAATTTAAAAAGAAATTAACTAGACCAGCGGTTCTCAACCTGTGGGTCACGACCCCTTTGGTAGTTGAACGAACCTTTCACAGGGGTCACCTAAGACCATCCTGCATATCAGATATTTACATGATGATTCATCACAGTAGCAACATTACAGTAATGAAGTAGCAACGAAAATAATTTTATGGTTGGGTCACAACATGAGGAACTGTATTTAAAGGGCCAGAAGTTTGAGAACCACTGATCTAGAGTAATACACTGGGGGCTCATAATAGAGTTTTTAACTAATGAGTTTTATTCTTTAATTCATCCATTTAACAAAATTTTATTTACTATAAAGTAGGCAAGTCATGACATGGCAGGGGACTGCTGGAGGATTTCCATTCCTAGGCCACTAGAGAGACATCCTAACCATCTTTCAAATGAAATATTGTCCTACAATTACTACCCAAAGGAGAACATCACCCCCGCACCTCGTTATAAGAACATATTCGCTTGGAAGTTATTTCCTCGGAGGTGAAACATTGTGTGCATATGTATTCATATCCTCGTGTGAGTATAAAATCTGCTACAGGACAAGGTGAGCTCAGGCAGTCACACATGGACAAGTAAACCCATGTGTTCTCTCACGACACCTGCTGTGTAAGATGAGTGAGCACATGGTGACTGGTACAGGGAGGGAGAGGTCAGTGTAACACAAGTCCATGCAGGTCCCTGAGAAGTTCTCTCTGGCACATTAACCGTCTGGCGTCACGGAGTCACAGCTGATGCGAGGCCCATGCCCAGGCCACAGAGGCGCATGCGGCCCCGGAGGCCCACCCTCCGTGTCCCTCTCCGCTCAGCTGGGCCCCGTGCTCAGGTCTGAAGAGCTCACCATGCAGGCCCCTCGGGTCACCTGCACTTTTACCCTGAACATCACGTCACGCTCAGCAGGCATAAGCCTTTCTGGCAGCGCCTTCCATCCATCCACCATTGCCCTTTTTAAAAAGCGAAGCTTTATATTTACAATTCGTAATTTAAAAACCTTTAGAACTGTGCTAGTCTGTTAAATAGGAAAGCTCACTGTTGCTAGCACCACAGATACGATTTCAACAGGGTGTGAGCTCTGCACAACTCCGTTTTCTCAGGGCCCACTCTGCAGGAGGCAACGTTGCGCAGTGAATGTTTTTTTCAAAATGGCATGTGCTGCGTGAGATCTGCAGCATCCCTGCTACAGGTACTGTGGAGACTGACATCAGGTTAACAGCATGTAAACATTTTAGACAGAAACATTAGTCAAGAATGTCAACTTAGATGCTAAACCAACTCTTAGATAAAACACCGTTTCAATGAAAGAAAATAAAAAAGCAGAGGTATTTGAAAATTGATTTATGCCAAAATGAGGGAAAGATAAGAGGAAACTTAATATGATAGATATGCTGCTGGATAAGTGAACAATCACTGCTAACATCACACAATTGGGAACATAAAATAGCAAGGTGTTAAAAAATAAAAAATAATAAAATACTACCGTCAGGAAAGCTAGACCTAAGTATATATTCAGAATTTAGAATGATCCCAAATATGACATGTGCAAAATTATAAGAATTCCAGCTATATAGTAACTGCTCAATAAGTATTTGCTGAGTAAATAAAAAGACCAGTATCTGTTTCTGCAGACTGTAAAGTCCGTGAGGGCAAGGCCAACATCTGCCTATTCTCCTCCTGAGATACTTGGTAAATACATGTTGAATAAATGAACTAAGACATTCCCTACTACATCGGTCCTGAGAAAGGTGTTTTAACTCTCAGTTAGCTCGTGTACTTCCCCATACGATTCCTAGACATCGCCTAGCTCACAGAGTAATAAGACGTGCGCCTCTTCGGCTATATCCTGGTTCTTCTTTTTCATTTTTAAAAATATGTATTTTTTTATTGATTTCAGAGAGAGGACAGGAGAGGGAGAGAGATAGAATCATCAATGAGGGAGAATCACTGATCAGCTGCCTCCTGCACAGCCACAACGGGGGATGGAGCCTGCAACCCGGGCTGTGGCCTGACCGGGAATCGAACGGTGGCCTCCTGGTTCCTGGGTCGATGCTCAACCACGCTGGCTGGCCTTGTTGTTCTTTACAACAAGTTTATCCGACGAACTCTAATGAAACAGTCGTGTCCGTGTACGTCTAAGAAGCACCTCCACGATTTCAATCTAGAACACATACCATTCTTTATGATTTTCAGAAATATTCACTCTTTTCCCACACATTATATTTAAATAAAGCATCTCCCTTTCGTTTTAATTATTTTCACGCATGTGCTGATTCACACTGGTCACTGACAATAAATTATTAATCAACAGTGAGCCAAGCTAGCCGCTCCGCGGTGCGCTGTCCGCCCATGTGTTTGCAATGTGCTGGGTCACGCCACTTGCAGGATGTTCGTCTAGTCACTGGGGAGCCATGAACAATGCAACTGTTGGAAATCCGTGGCTCCATGTTGTGCTATAGAAAATGGAAAATTCTGAGCACAGCTGTGTAATATAAGCAACAGCTGGAGCAGCTATGTCATAGGAAACGTGAGAGCCTTGGGCATCTGTATTATCAGCCAGCTAAAATAAATACGTGCTCCGTCCCAAGTCGAGTATTTAACGTTTATTTTCACTAGACGTAGAGTAAGTTTCACAGTACAGTTGATACATACACAATATATTTCTACTTATTTCATTATTTTTTGCACGCCCACCCTATTTATTGCCGGAATATAAACTAAAGGCTAATATTTTAAAAAGGCAAAGGGACATTAACTTTCAGATTGTGCTTTCTAAGTAATATTTTCTGCTAAAACAAATCAGGGTTCTTTTGGAAAAGGTTAATTACAAATCTGGGACAGGAAACACTGAATAATGTTTCAGGGCAACCTGAGCCTGAGATCTCTTTGATATAAGAAAACTATCAAATATTAGTGGGGTCGTATCAGAATGAAATAGGTGCCAACTTGAAGGAACTCTGACTGTCCACGTGTGGGACAATTGAACATAAGAAAGAACAGCAATTGAATTAATTGAAGCATATCAGATACACAAAAACTGTAAGTGAACATTGCTCTTTAAAAACTTGACCATTTCTAGAGCTTTCTATGGCCTCATTGAACTCATTGTTTCAAATATTAATAAGTAAAGAATTATCCATTCTTTTTAAAAAAATATATTTTATTGATTTTTTTACAGAGAGGAAGGGAGAGGGATAGAGAGTTAGAAACATTGATGAGAGAGAAGCATCGATCAGCTGCCTCCTGCACACCCCCTACTGGGGATGTGCCCGCAACCAAGGTACATGCCCCTGCCCGGAATCGAACCTGGGACCTTTCAGTCTGCAGGCTGACGCTCTATCCACTGAGCCAAACTAGTTAGGGTTCCATTCTTTATTTTGTGGACTATAGTTTAGGTCAGGGGTCGGCAAACTCATTAGTCAAGCGAGCCAAATATCAACAGTACAATGATTGAAATTTCTTTTGAGTGCCAAATTTTTTAAACTTTAACTATATAGGTAAGTACATTGTTATTAACTTAACTAGAGGCCTGGTGCACAAAAATTTGTGCACTGGGGGGGGGGGGCATCCCTCAGTCAGCCAGTACTTCTTCAAAATAGACTCGCCCAGGCCAAAAACCAACTTCTGCGCATGGGCCACAAAGTTTCGATCGCACTGTACGCGTGCCCGCACGTGGTATTTTGTGGAAGAGCCACACTCAAGGGGCCAAAGAGCCACATGTGGCTCGCGAGCCGCGGTTTGCCGACCACAGGTGTAGGCTAACCAAATAGTTACGGGGAAAGCTGTTTTTGTTGTTAATCCTCGCCTGAGGGCATTTTTCCATTGATTTTTTAGAGAGAGTGGAAGAGAGGGGGAGACACAGAGAGAGAAACACCAATTTGAGAGAGAGACACATTGAGTAATTCCGCAAGCACAAGACCTGGTTTCTTCAATAAATAAATCAACTTAAAAATACAGATGTGGCCCTAACCGGTTTGACTCAGTGGATAGAGCATCAGCCTGCAGACTGAAGGGTCCCAGGTTCTATTCCAGTCAGGGGCATGTACCTTGGTTGAGAGCACATCCCCAGTAGATGTGCAGGAGGCAGCTGATCGATGTTTCTCTCTCATCGATGTTTCTAACACTCCCTTGCCCTTCCTCTCTCTAAAAAAATTAATAAAATATATATTTTTAAAAATACAGATGTGTAGCAGTAGGTGAAACTTGAAACTGAATATTAGCTGAATAATGAATTAGTGTTGATTTTACTTTTATGTAGAATCTAATAAAAACAAAACAAATGAATAACAAAACAAAATAGAAACAAATACATAGACATAGAGAATAAGCTGATGGTTACCATAGGGAAATGA